TCAAGTTTCCCTGGACTCCTTCACATACATGATCCTCCACACCCTGCTCAAGAGACGGGAGTTTTCCAGCTCCTTGGCAGACTTTGTGGAAGGATGAGGGCTGGTCCAGAAAACAGGACATGAATCTATTGCAAGATGTTGAACTAATCATTGCATTGCAGGATATTGCAGGTTAGATTCAGCAACGTTGAATACTGAAGCCACCCCAGAGTACTTGATCCCACTCACCAATCCCGGCGATGTCCAAGTAAAGTAGACCTGCGTGGCATGGAAGGTACTGAGCGGTGCATGATGAATGCATGGAAGCTATGTATTTCCAACCAGTTCAGCCTGCGCTGTTTTGGGGGTAATGGTCCATCCTTCTTCACCTCAGATGCAACATTGACATTGACTCATTTCAGCGGAGTTCGAACAATTTTGATCATGTTCCAGTAAAGAAGCTGGGATCCTGACTATCATCATCCACACTGCCCTTCTTTTCATGATTATGTCCGTTGAGGAAGATATCTGTGTATCCCTCTTCCTCAAACTCTCGCAAGAGCTTACGCCAGGAGCTTTTCTCGGTATCAGTCGTGCTTTTCGCTTCCTGCAGCAGATGTTTGGGGGATAAAGCAAACACAATGCTTGGAGAGAACAGCATGCAAGTCTCTCCATGGAAGGCAATCCATCATGCCCACCTGAATCTCCAGCACCACTTCTTCTGCATCAGAAGTCCAACTGCAGACCATTACATGGTCGAGCTCTCCTCACGAGGCCAGTGAGGGCCCAGCCAGGCAAAGCTTGAGCAGCGCATGTGGGCATCAAGTTGACCAAGTTCTGGGAACGCATGCAGTTCTCAATTTGTCTCAACCGCATCCAGTCTGAGATGCTGGGTTCACCCCAGGTCACAGGTCTAAGAATGCTGTTCACCCCAAGTCTAAGATTGCTGTGAATGTTGTAGCAATGGCCCCTAGCCACTGGCTTTTCACAGTTCACTCTACTTTTGGCCTCAAAAACAGCTTGGGCACAACACCAATACTTCGGGGTGTAACATGGGGTAGCCACATGGCAGAAGGGTCGCCTGATGTCCAAGTCCGAGTGAGGGTTGTAACATGTTGTACTAACCGATTGTGTTTCAGAAGGGTCCCACTCACTACCCAAGCTGCTGGTGCAGGGGTTCTAAATTCAACTCCACTAGATCAGGCCAGTTCAGCATCATCTCATGATGACTCCTGTTCTGACTCCTGTGCAGACTCTCCATCCCCCGACCCTGAATCAGGTTCCGCTTCTGGGTTCGGAGGGTTAGACTTGTGCACCTTGATTCGCCGGCGTGACAGTTGGGACGCAGGCATAGAACTGATGGCCCTCAAGCGATCTGGATGGGTCCTCCACCTGGGCGCGGAAGGAAGTGCTCAGAGTCGCTTCTAGTTTGGAAAGCTTGTAAATCTAATCATGCGCAATGTGTGTTGTTATATAACATCAACAAAGAGATTCTGAGCAGCTGGCTTTTGGCGTGCCATTTTCAGCCTCTCTGTGGCTGAGAGCTCCGGGTGGCTCTTCGCCAATGCAGCGCGCTCAGTTTTCAGATAAGCTTGATACGCAGCCATCAAACCATCAGCCTTGGAACAGTGGGTTGTTTAGAATTCGATAGTCTGGGCTCAGAATTGCACATTGTTTGCAAAAGCAGCAGTTCCATCGGTGTGACGCGATTTGCCCGGCCTTAGGATCCTTTTGCTTTCGGGCCTTCGGCTCCTGGAGGAGGCTGGATTTTGAGATGAAGGAGAAACTGAAGGATGAACATATATCAACCTGGAACCGCATATCACTGAGATTTTGTTCAATTTTTGTGTGGCAAGAAACGCATAATTTGTGATTCGGTTCATCTTATTTCGTGCATTGATTGATGGGGTGCTGGCTCCTGTCCCAGAACCAAAGTTTCTGACTCGCTTGTGCCCTCTTCTTCATCCTTCTCCTTGTTTGACTTCTTGTCCGCCTTTGGCTTGCGTTCCCTCTTTGGTTTCTTTTCCTTTTTTGCCTTCGCCTTGGCAGCTTGTCGGATAGCCTCGAAGTCTTCAGGGATGCCCAAAGCCCTTGCTGCAATTGAAGGCTTTCTGACCTCCTGCACTTCCCTTTCCATTGAAGTTTCCCTGATTCTCTTTCGGTCATTCTTTACCGCCTTCTTGTCTTTGGCGCTCTTTTTGGGAACCGCCTCTTCACCATCGGAATTCTTGCCTACAGAAGGTGCTTCAGGATGTTCTGCTGGAGGTTCATTCTTGTCCTTCTTGCCATTCTTCCACTTTGCATCTTTTGTTCGTTTCTTCTTGTTTGTACGTTCTTCATCCTCCTCCATCTCCCCTTCAGCCTTCTTGCTTGTCTTGGGGACTTTGTTGCTCTTCTCCTCGGACTTGGCTTCTGTGGCTTCCCGACGAGATTTCCTCTTTGGCTCAGCCTCTTTCTCCTCACGCTGTGGATGTTTCTCCTTCACCTCCTGAACTTTGGCCTTCTTAGGGGCTTTGAAATCTTCTTTGCCCTCCTTCTTCTTTGTTGCCTTTGTCTTTGGTGCGGGTTCGTCGGAGTCAGTTTCATCAATCTCCTCTGAGTCTGGCTCCTCGCTATCCAACTCGTTTGGCTCCTCCT